TATATTATTATTATTATTATTATTATTATTATTATTATTATTATTATTAATTTTTAATAATAATACTTTTTGACAAGAAATAAACCGGGACCTGTTCAGCGCTCCCAGAAGGGAGTGACCCCAGATACGGTGTTAAATTCTCCAATTGTCCAAATGAACGCCTGAGGCTGAAGTGAGGCCTCTGGCAGCTGGAGCTCCCAGGCAACCACCGGGAGGGATAGGCTGCAATTCCCTGCCTTGAGCTGCTGCGGAAAGCCAACAATTTGCCAATATCTAAGAATGCAGTAAGTTCTCACAGGCTGGGAGGCCTATGATTAGAAGACTAGTTTCTTCGCAGTCGCAGAGGCCTGTTACAAAACGCCCGAAAACGTGGCGGCGCCCAAAATGGCGGCCGCCCACGATCCCTTTAAAAACGGGCCGCTCAGGGCAAGACTAAGCCTCTCCGGCAAACCTGGAGGCCGAGAGAGGCAGCGAGACAATTTTTCGCCCCTTTTTGGGGCGATCGGCGTTCGCGGTGGGGGGGATCACCAGCTGCGCTTATCAGCGCGATCGAGTGGAGCCGCTACAATAGCGGCGCGAAAAAGCGGCAGGAAAGGAGCCGAATTGGAAGGGGGGGGAGGATTGGCGCCGGAGCGCGAAAGCCGCCCGCTCCCTATCCCCCCTGGGGGCGAAGAACGCGCTCCCCTGCTATAGCCACCCCAATTGCGCAGAGGCTAAGGAGAACCGAAACGCAAGGCAAACCTGAAGGGAAATTTTCTTTTCTATAGCTGTTAAAAAGGAACTTGAATCGGCCAAAGAGTGGAGAAATGCACAGCCTAATCTCACGAAGGCTGAGCGTAAACTGGGGATTGCAAGGCAACCACGTGGTGAAGGGCGGAGCAATCCTCAGTAATTAAGCTCAGCCTACAACGACGCAGACTGAAGCACCTCCCACTCTCTGGATGATCCGAACGGCTCCCAGGAGAATTGATAGGGATTTTGTCCAGCGTCCTTTCCTCAGCTTTCCCTTGCCATTTGGGAATTCTGATAGTTCTTAATACCAACATATGGAGATGATACCGATTTAGGGAAATATTAATGCATAAGTCTTCCTGTTGTTTTTTTCTTGGCAAACAACATTTTGCATAATTTTAGAAATCTTCAGTGCAATCAGAATCTTTGATCAGAAAACTGTAGCAGAGCAAGAAAAATAAAATGTCTACAACCCCTCTGTTCAAAACCTAACAAAGTGGAATATGCAAATACCTAACAGTGCTAAGTCCTAGTATAGTTTGCTTGAGGGGATACACAAAATCAGCCAATCGTGGTTTATAAAGCATGGTTTATAACTTTGGCATTGTATGTGAACCAGGTCTCTGTAGTTCACTTGTAAAGTACAGCGTCTGATAAATGTATCTTATAACTTGCTGTAATACACATAATCCTCAACTTACAACAGCTCGTTTAGTGGCCGTTCAAAGTTGCAACAGCACTGAGAAAAGTGACTTATGATCATTTTTCAGAGTTACGATCCCTGCAGCATCCCCATAATCTCAGGATCAAGATTCAGATGCTTGGCAACTGGTTCATATTTATAACCGTTGCTGTGTCCCAAGGTCATGTGATCACCTTTTGGGACAGTATGCAAAGTCAATGGGAAAGCCAGACTCACTTAACAACCAACTTATCAACTGCAGTGATTCACTTAACTACTGTGACGAGAAAGATAGTAAAATGAGGTAAAACTCACTGAACAAATGTCTCACTTAACAACAGAAATGTTGGCACCATGGTCTCTGCCTATAGCAATCTTAGTTGCACAATTTACTATCATCTGACCAATCTTGTGAATTCAAGGCCTTTGACCTTCAGCCCTCCTCCAGCATCTTTGCCCCTCCCTGCTTCTCATACCATGTTGACAAAGGCAGAGATGAAGACAAGCAGGATGGAAGCAACGCCAGTAATAGTGCTGTTGATTCGGGATTGGATGATCTTGCGAGACGCACTCTGCAAAGCGGCAGGAAAGGGCTACAAGGGATTGGAAAAAAAAGGTTGAATGAGTAAAAGGGGTGCTGATATTACCATTCATCACTTCCAACTAGTTCCAACTATCCTCCTTAGCCTGATGACATCAGAGCCAGATACCAGGAATCAAACTCATGGCAGTCTTTAATCTAAAAGACTCTACAGTGGGGATTCAGGCTTTCTGCTGAGAAGCTGAATTGTGCTCAGCAGACAACAATAATACAGTATAATATTAATGACACTGTAGATATTATTATTTTCCAATAACAGTGGAGACAACCCTGGAGAAGATGGATGAATAATCTGGCCTGATATAAAACAAGTTTCATTTTTCTATTTCCCTAATCTGGACAA